CCGCCTGCAAGTGCTGGCGCGTTTTACATAATAAATAAGAGACTGAAATGGAGACAAAATAAAATATGTGTACTCACGGCATGCTATCCAAATTCCTGAGAGAGGTCGACCAATCAAGTAGCATACATACCATCCAATTTCGTTCCACATGCTCATTATATCACCACAACGCGGCGACATATCAACCGTGTAGGCCTACGGGTGAAATTTTCTTCCATGACATTCTAACCTTTCAAAATATAAATCTACACTGGTGCAAAACTTAAGGACCAGATAGATAAATTGTCCTAACTTATTAACAATTAGATGGAATTGGATGAAACTGTACGGGCATAATGCTAGAAGCCCTACAGTCATGGGCACCGAAGTGGGCCTCATATGTCTTGCATCCGGCTTCAATCTGGAGCCTAAATGGGGTGGCCACCCAGAACGATGGGTATCGTGGGGCAGGACAAGAGGGGTGAACTAAGCAGGGAGAAGTGACTGTGGAATGTAGTGGTGTTCTTGATTACATCAAGTCTCAGAGACAACACTAGGGTGACTTTACGCGAGGAAGAATCATTGGGAAACTGAAAAAAGGAAGTTGTGTCCAGGAGTTTTGTGTCAACCACAGCATTGTTTTTTGTGCATGAGAAGCAATGTGGACCGCAGCCACTGCTGTCCCAAGAAGAGGAGGTTGTGGGTCACGAACAACCGCAGCAGCAGGTGATTGCTAGGTTTTGCTACAGGCAAAAATGGACCCACGTCAGTCACATGCTGCAGTTGCAAAAACATTTATCAGGATTGTAAGGCATGTAATCCCAGTCCGGACAGTGGCGCAGTGACCGCCTAGGAGTGATCTCTCTCATCGATCAACAATACCTGTATTCATTTGAAATCCACGCCTCGGCTGGGACATTTGGTACGAGCCGAGACATTGGAGATGGACCACCGAATTGAAAAATCGCGTATTCTTCCCGGTCAAGAGCAAACTGAATGTGAGTAGTGATTCTGGACTTACCTGCATATGGGGAAAATAGGAACGTGTAATCTACCCAGGACCATCGTTTAACATGATTGTTTTGGTAGTCCATGCGACATGATGTGGGGAGGCATAAAGTTGTCGGGGCGTACTGATCCCCAACTCATGATCGCGTTACACTTTCTGATCAACGTGATTGTGGTGTTGTACCCTTCTGTCATGTGCATCTTTCCAAGGGTTCCCTTGCCCTCAGCTTCAATCGTATGGAGGGCAGTGTGCGAGAGTATCGAGCAGCCTGGGTGGAAAACTCTTGAAAAGTGAGGATTTTCGGTAATTGGTGAAGCCATTTATTTCCTCCAGTCTAATTCTATGGAGCACGTGTGGCGTGGATTCAGATGAGCTATTGTAGCACATGACCATGTGCCAACAATAGTCCTGCAGTTGTCAATCGCGGTCTCCAAGGAATCGGTCACTTCTCCTCAAGAACTCTTAACTAATCTTACGGCCTGTATGGGAACACGTAGCAGAGCATACTTTGCAGTCCGTAGTGTTCATACACCCCATCAAGAACCAGCTCCTCTCTTTTGAATGTCTACCATGAGTTGGAGAAGCCTCACCTATCGACCGCTTCAGACAGGGTATTTGCAGAAAAATGTCTTTTCCAATCGCCCCTTTGCGCTTTTCTGTTAGTAACTCTCTGCACTGTACCGCAACATTTACTTCTATATATGTGCCAAATTTGGTCCACCTAGGTTAACTAGCAGTGAGATATCATGTGAAAGTTACTTCCGGTCCTTAAGTTTTGCACACCAGTGTAGTTACAATATTTAAGACAGCGATATGATAATTCGATGCCCACCGAATATTGAAGTTAATAAAAGGCCGCCAAGAGGGCGGAAATCGGTCGAAGATTTGCCGGCGACTCGTCGAGTTTTCATCGCATCCAGTCAGACGCTCTCTCCCGCGCACACTCACTCTCGCCACGCTCGAGCCGCCTGTGCTCTCCACGAGTGCATTCACTCTCGACGCTGATCTCAATGGCGTGGAGCCATGGCTGAGGATTTTCTCGACCGTTATCCAAGCTGGTGCCAGGCAATGCGGCAGTGATCTTAAGAAAACCCAAGTATCGTTTGGAGAATAGTGTCGAGAGTGAATGCACTCGTGGAGAGCACAGACGGCTCGCGCGTGCCGAGAGTGGAAATGCTTGCGTGGGAGAACGTGACGGCGCAGGTGAGATTTCTGGACGATCGTCGACAAATCCTCGACCGATTTTCGATGTCTTGACGCCCTTTGGTGAACATTGAGTCATCATAGTCGCCAGTAAACCGAGGACGGGTTTCAGCGGTAAGCTAGACCTTCGCGGCTTAGCGTATCTGATATCGATATACATATGCGAGGCAGGAATGATTGTA